CGCCACCGCCTCCAGCTCATCTCATCCTAAAGAAGGAAGCGAGGAACAACAACAGAAAACAAACAATGGGGGTGAGCATAACCAACAAGCTCACCTTTATTGCACAGTTATTCAGTATAAGGCATTTCAAAACATTTTCACAGTATGCATAAAATCCAAGGTCTAAACTTCCTACTCAGCCCTATCGCAAACCTCCTATGTACATACAACAACCTTCCGGATACAACGGCATGGAAGTAACTGGAAACCTTCCCACCCCCGGGTACAACGGTTCGTAGGATCCTTTCCAGGAGACAGTGGAGATGTTTTTCCCCTTCTGGGTACAACAGCTTGGGGCGTCTCCTCCCGTTTACGACGGGCAGGTGACCTCCCATTGTTTTCGCATTCATCAAAGGCACTATTGTACGGGACACCTAGACTGGGGTTCTCACGCATACAACAAATTTTCAAACGAAGCATTATACGAATAAAGAGTGCAATAATTATGGAATACATCATAATGTACCCACTTGTTCGCAGCAACAAAACACAATCACGATTCTTGAAGGCGGGGTGAGGTCAACACCTCTAGACAACTACATAAGTCCAGATATTAAAGTCAACGCTTTATCTAGACCTAAGTAGAAAATCACAAATTTGACTTAGCCGAATTTGATTCGACTAAGTGGTTCGTGAAGTCTTGTGGATATTGGAACTCTAGAACTTAGACTCGATCATACCACTTATTGTATTCCTCACAATTTCAAATAAAAATAATCGAGACAAGCTACAAGGAAACACATAACATGCTGATTACCAAATTCTTAACCAAAACTTCTATCTCAAAGCAATTTCCAAGATTTACACATTTTTAAGAAGGTCCATCAAACCAACGAGTTGGGTTCTGAAAGTTTAACACAAAATTCAACTACCAATACTTAGAAAAACCACCAAGTTTCAGCCACAAATTCATTATACACAATTTTATAAAATTCAAATACAATATCAGCAAAAACAAGCATAAAATTCAAAG